CTCTAGATAGAATTAAAATATCCTTTATTTTTATATGTGAAATAGAAACTAAAGGGGTAGTAAGCATGCAATTAGGAAATAAAGTTCTAGTCCATACTCATGCATCTCTTTTGTCCATGGCAAAAAGGGGAAAGAAGCTACATTGTATGAGGCCAGAAGTTCTCCAATGTGCTCTGCCAATCTAGCTGTGTTTCCGCCATATGGAAGTCCAAGTGGAAACAGAGCAACCAGGGGATTGATCCATAATCCTTTAAAGAGATACTGCTATCTGCTGTAATGTAAAGCGGTTCCCAAGCCAGTCTATGTTGGTGCTAGAATGTATGCAAAATGGAAAAAAAAAAGTGAAGAAATCTTTACAGACCCCCCCCCATTCTATTTCTCCAATGGCTTATTAATAAAACATAAAATCTGTCGGTGTAAGTCATAATCTTTCTATGGTCAGTCTTTTTGGCTGTATATTCCTTTGGACAGGAACCATGTCAAATACTGTGTCTGTAGCACAAAAGCATCCAAAAGGATAGGGGCTGCCTAGGGCTGTGTGCTGGGCAGACATACACAGTGAGCAGCGGTCCCAGCCCAAAAGAGCTTCTATTAATTCCATTTTTTTTACTCCTTCAATCAAATAACTGTTGTGTTCTGTTGAAGGTGGATTGGCAATAAAGCATACAAATGAGTTTTACTGTAGCATTTCAGCCTAGGATGGAGAGCTGTTCACTGGTGCTGAAGTCTCCCACACTTCCCATACAACAGATAACAGCTGAGTCAAGTTCCCTAATCTTGTCCTTGGCTCTGTAAGGTGTGAATGTGTCAGTAAGGGAAGTGTGCTGCTATACAGATAACGTGCCTGGACAACCCAGCACAGTTACATATGTGATAAGTATCATATGGCATAGGTGTTGAAGACAAGTATTTGCATCCATTGCAGCAGCAGTCCTGGGCTCCTTCCTTCCCTCCCATGCCTGCAAGGCTGATGGCTTAACCTATGTTGTGTTTTTTTTCCTGCTCTGTGCCACTGTGACAGATAACTCTATCTGGAGGCATAAATTAAAAGCCAATATAGTCTTGAAATATGCTTAAGATCTTTTATGAGCTTAAATCCTATTACTGCTGTGTTAGTTCTGGCCCAGACATGCCTAAGGCGTGTTCCCTGAATGTCATTCATTTGAGCAAAATGCTGTAGGGATTAGGCAAGTGACACTGGAAGTGTGCAGTTAAGGATGATGTTGCTGACTCATAGGGCCTGTCTGATAACAGCAGTATTCAGAGAGGATGCAAGAGCTGACCTGTTTGAATATAACATTAACTTTCAGTAGGACAGCGTAGAAGGAATATATGTCGTGAAAAGGAAGGCAGAGGATATTATGGAGATGGAAACATGGAGCTTTGGAGTCTGGAGACACAGACAAGCTTCAGGTTACTTATGGGATATCTGATAAAACCATTGCTCAGCAAATTAAGGGCAAATTTTTTAGGAGAGCTCCCTATAATGTTCTTCTGTTTGTGATTTACTCTAAATTCTATAAATTGTGGATAAAGCGTGTTTGTATGTCGGGCAACTTGACATGGATCATAGGAACTGTTAGCTGATGCCAGTCATCTCTAGGGTACCTCAGAGAAAGGAGGACAGTAGCAACAGGAATGAAAGAACTGGAATCTGATTTGATGACAGAGCGGGAATGAGGGACTGTATGGCTCTTCGAATGCCAAAGCTGATGCAGGATGTCTGGCGTTTGCCTAGATGGTTGGACCTTCCTCTAAAAGCGATCTTACAACAGATCATTTATCACAGGCAGGTTTCTAGGTCTCTCTATCCTTATTGCTATGGAGACAAGTCAGTTTCTTTATAACAGCTTCTGATGTTCTAGACAGTCAACAATTATGACAGGATGAAATATTTCTCTGTATTTAATTATCATGTTTTTAATTTGAATTCATCAGGAGGCTAGTTGAGCAGAGTCTGCGAAATTGTCAGGCAAAAGAATCTTATAAAAATTAGAACGTTAGGAAGATATTCGGCATACATAAGGGGAAGGCGTTCTAACTTATAAATAGTTTTAGAAAGAATTTAGCTCGTTATAAAATGAATTAAGGATGGATTTTTAGGGATATGGTCATGTTTCAAAGCTATTTTAAAGTAGTCTATATCCTGACTGTTGAAACTGTCTCATTCTTCCAAAGGTCCCAGGTGTTCTCCAGAGTCTCACAATGAAAGGGAATTACATTAGAAAGCATGTGTGGGAGAAAGCAGGCACAGAGCTGTGTGCCAGCAGGATTCAAATGTTCTCATTCATCCTACACTGATGTTTTAGCTTCCCTAGAAAGAAAAGCATGTGTTTCAGTGGGGTTGAGTCACAGGGATCAGGAGGCCAGGTGTGGGGTTGTGACTGGTGCTCAGAGAGACTTGGTCAGGGCAGGAAGGGTCTGCAAGGTGTGTTGCAAAGGGGATGTGTCTGCCAGGGAGACAAGGACGAGGAGTGGCTGTCAAAGAGAGGCATCAGATGGAGTCAGTGTAAAAACACTCAGTTTTGAAGCAGTTGCATTTCAAAGGTATGGGAAATTTCCTTAAACAAAAATTTAACTTCCAGGAGGTGGAGGAGAATCTATGTAAACGTTTTTTCTAGCTACTCCATCAAGGGAAAGGATAAAAGGAGAGGTAAAACTGCACAAGGATGTTGTTACTGGAAGAAAGGCTTTTCTGACAATGATAATTTCTCAACAGTGTTTCACACAATCTCACAGTGCTAAAAAAAGTTTGCTGCATTAAATCTGGGGTTTTTGCCACTTATTTTAAGTGTTTCAATCACCAGAGTGTAAAACTTGTTAAACATTATAAGCATCATTTAATAAAGGAAGAATATATTGTAGATTTGGCATAGTGTAGTTTAAAAAATTGAAGTACTGCTCAGACTAACAGTTAACCATTCATTTTAGTTATATCCCCTTAAGGTGTTGTTTTTGAATGATAACATATCTTGAAATGCAATGATTATCTGTGTACTATTTCAGTTTCTATTCCATGACCCTTTAGTTGCTGGTTTCTTATAATTTGCAAGATAAACCTTATTCTCCAGCAAGCTATAAAATAATAATCTTTTTATTAAATAGAATCTAGCTTCAACATAAAATTGTACATGCTGTGTGACAGTAGATGTTTGATATGCCTTTCTACTTAATTTAAAAAATCTTGTAAAGTTTTGGTAACAAAAAATTCATCTCCTGATGCTTCAGAGAAGTATTAGGGAAATGACTTGCTATGACCTGCCAAAATTGGCTACTGTTTGGCATTTGTAGGAGCCACTATGCATCTATATCAGTACAGTCATTTTGCTTCAAGGCCAACTGGGAAAAAGTTAGAATCACCTGATTATGAATTTTCCCAAACTCTGGAGGTATGAAAATAATGGAAATTGCTTTGAAACCAAGCCTAGAGTTTGACTATTCCTTTCTGAAACCAAACCTGGGGGAAGTTCCTACGAGCTACTACTATTGAGTCTTAATCAGGAATGATTTTATAAAATAAAATTTTAGAGTCATATTGTCAAATTGTTTAGGCTCCATTCCTAGCGCTGATCTTGGTGTGGACTATGTACAGGGAAAAAAAAAAAAGAAAAACTGGTTTTGGCCTATGCAGCATTTATTCCCCTCTAACACTGATGATTCCTCTTCTAATTCTCTATACTCTGTAGTGGAAATATGCTCTTCTGTGCTGAATTCACAAAGATAAATGCTTCGAGTAAAATACCTAATTTTATTGAAGGTAGAAGAGGTGCTGCCATGATTATTATTTTCTTGGTAAAATCAAGATGTTTAATGTTGTAAGAATGGCTTGTTCAGGGTAAATCATCTCATGAAAATAGTAAGGGGGAATTCTGCTTAGATATAAATTGATCTGTGAAGCAGAGGTAGTTTTGCAGTGAGTAGATCCTTAGGAGCAGCTAAACTGTTTCAAACTTCAGAGATTCTTGTTCGCAAAATAGAATATATTTTAGCTTGAGAGCCTTCTTAGTACCATTTCCTAGGTTGACTGTTAAGATGTTAAAGAGCTAGATGATGGTAAAGCTGTAGTTAAATGAGGAAAAAAGAATGGAGAGTTGTTTTAGGACATACTTGCATATTATTAAAATGGAGAGACCACTTTCAAAGAAGTTTTTTTGGCAGATTAGGATCCCTCTAAGATGTGTTTTTCCCAAGCTATTTTACATTGTAAGAGTGAATGCTTGGACACACATTTTGGTTGTGTAGGATGCACCTACATAAATGTTGTTGTTCAGGATGCATCAGCATGAGTGCACTCATCAAAAGTGCACTTCTGATTTATATTGTGGAGTGGTCTGAGAATACACAAAGTAGATTCCTTACAGATTAAACCATGCCAAACCCCTGCCCTCTAGGAGCTCTCCTAACATGCTCCAGCTTCTAATGGGCGTTTGTGCACGGGACTGGACTGGAACCAGTCCAAAGTAATCCCTCCTACAAATGCATATGGTGAGGGCACCAAGTGTTTCGCTGTGCAGACCTGCTTTTATTGTACTGTAGTGCTTACTAATGTGGACATAATCTGCATCTGTTGGATGGTGGAATATGAGACTCTTTGTAAGAAGATGCTTTATATTACTTTCATTCAAATTTTGCCACCATATTGTAACATGGCTGTACTGACAGCCAATCATTACTGTAGTAAAGGATAAGTATTTTTGAGTTCTATTTAAGCACATTGCATACATATTTTATTTAGCTACTTCTCAAGGCAAGAAATTATTCAGAGCTACATCATTTATGTTACTTAAGAACTTGTTTGGGATAGCAGTATATGTCAACAGTGTAGCCCGTTTCCAGGATCTCAGTTAGGTAGTAATGCATTCAGTAATTGCCTTTCTCTTTTCTTACTTTGATCAGAACTGGGAAATGTGTATATTTTTATGAAAATTACATTTAAGCCTGTTGACAAAGTAACTTTCATCTCCTTCCTCTGATTGTATTATTTTCTTTCCAGGAACAAACTTGACAGAAATGGGAAAATCACCGGACTATGTGAGAGTTATGCCCGGAATGGAACAAATTGCTATGAGTCATTAGGGAACCTGAAGGATCAGGTGAGAGTGATGTATTTCGGCTTTTATTTACCATGTCATTTGCTTTTTCTTGATCATTCTTCTGCTGACTGTAAAAATGACTTATCTGGAAAAAAAAGTCCTATATTATGAAGCATTTATTGTTTGTATGAATTCTAATGAGTAAGTTGAAAGCAGATAGAGAGAACCATAATTTTTGTTTTTAAAAAGTTAAGGATTATGAACATTTGGGTTTAGCACTGATGGAAACTACAAACACTTCATCCCCTTTCCAATCCTGCTTACCGTGTTAGTCCATTGTAACTGGACAATGATTAGTGTAATGGCTTTGTGGTGGCTCAAATGCAACTGATGCACAGTAGAGAGTATGAATCAAAGCTGATCGAAAAGGAAGAAGTGATAATTCTTCTGATAGAGAAGTTTGCTAAGAACAGTAAAGATGATGTCCTTCAGGTATAGAATAGTTTTTGTAAAGATTGACATTTTAAAGTGTCATTTTAAAACATGCAGCTACCACAGCATTGTTTTCCTCATTGTTTCATAGACTATAAAGATGATGATATAGTTAGGCAGCTTAACATTAGAGATCTAGTGGGAAAACCAAGGTCTAAAATGCTATAGGTGTTTATTCTCTGTATATGTAATCCCCTGGATTTTCTTACTTTAGTTAATGTGCTGACTCACCAGGCTGACCAAGAGTCATACTGGCTGAATGAAAGTGCTGGTTAAATATGACAGTGCAGCCAAAGCAAATTCTTACAGATCAGACTCCTCTGAGCTAACAGCTGTTCTTAAGGTATACTAATGTGTAAATTAAGCATTTGAATTCATATGTTCTAACTCTGCTGTATGGAAGACAATTCAAAGATGTAACGGCAACACCTCTTTTAACTTAGTGAAAGTGATTTAGAGATAATGTTAATAACCCTTAGTGAAATTTGGAGCTCAAATTCAACTTAGCTGAGTTTTATTTTCTCATAACTATGAATTATAGATTTGGTTATATTCATTCTAAAGTTATCCTGTAAACAGAGTAGGACACGTGATTTCTGATCTGAAGATATCAGTATCATGATCTCTTATTATGGAATAAATAATGGACAGAAAAAGATATATCAAATATATTGTATTCTCAGTGCTTGGCAACCTTTACTTAACTTTGTAACCTTATGAATGACTTGTCAATGATCCAACTGTGTTAGAGTCATCACAATCAATTTGAAAAGGTTGTTCTTTCTGAAAGCTGATTATGAGTTAGCAATGTGTGTTCCTGTGGAGAATTTTGTTTTACTGCATTTATGAAGGAAAATATTCCTGATAAATTTGATGTTAATTTCTATCATGGTATTTAAAAGCCATGATTTTAGTTTGAGGTCTAGGGAATTAGTTCCACACTTCCCATTATCCCAATTAGTTTAGCAAAATGACAAACAGTCAATGCACTTGCAGGCAATTATTGCACCCTTCAGCGGGTGGCATGATACTAGAGAAAAAAGATCTTGTGATTTTTACTTTCCCAGAAATACAGCTACTTTTTATAGCTGTGCTCTGATGTCAGGAAATTAACTGTCTAAATAATGAAAATACTATGGCTGTATGTTGTTGGAGATTATAGAAAATGACAAGAGATTTTGTTGACATCTAGCTGAATATCTCAGTTTGTGGCATTTTCCTTTCAAAAAGTGGATATCACTAATGAAGAAGCAGTGATCTTGATTTATCTTCCTCGTGGTGGTATTACCGAGGAAGTGAGGTCTAATATTTTGATGTTTTTATATATTAGTTTCAGAATAAATACTTTGCTGTATGTAGCATAACAAAGAAAATGGCAAAGTAGTACATTCAAGAAAGGAATCAGGAGGTTAAACATGGATTTCAGTCCTGGCACTGAATACTGACTTATACCTAGAAGCTTGATTTTTTGGTGTCTCAGTTGATGTCAAGGTAATAATACTGATCATGCTAAAATTGTGACCATAAATATTACTGGTGCTTGGAATTGTGGAACAGGAAGTGATTTAAAATTTTTGGGTGGTGCTTTAAGGCTGGCATAAAGTCAAGAGGGGGTGACCATTGCAGCCGCAAAGTGGGACATGTAGTGTTTCATCACCGTAATGGAGGCTCTGTTAACTATATCCTAGAGTCCATATTCCCAGCTGTACAATATGATGTTTGGCTGTATGAAAACTGGCACAGGCATCTCGTAATCTGGATGTTAGCCCTTGTCAGCTACTCCTAGTCTGTCCGTTGCACTTGCAGCTAACAAAGGGCTGCCACTTGCCTAGTTACCATGTGCTGGGCCTAGGTTCTTCTGCAAACATGGGCAGAGTTTTTTGTTTCTCACTCTGTGCTTTTTGCTTTTGCAAGAAACAGTAACTGCAGACATGTTGTCTGGTCTGCATTTTTCAGTCTTTCTGTTTCCTTTTTCTTGCCATCGAGGATAGTGGCTTGTTTTTGGCGATGAATCATTTAGGTGCCAGCTTCTACATTTTAGGTTCTGCACTAAACATTTTACTATTTTTACTTTTCATAACATGTTGCTCTCCAACTTCTGTTACAATTGTGCTTACTTTTTATGGAAAATTTATCTTTCAGATGAAAGACTTTGCTGTGGATTATCCTGTAGACCCAATAAAAAAGCTTATTTTAACATGTTTTCTTTCTCCCCTCACCTTCTGCTGTTCTTTCTGTAAAGTAGCAGTGCCTTTTACTAATGAGAACTATTGCCAGGCTTCCTTGTTATGGTACTTTTATTACAAATGTGTCCAACGTACGAAAGTGGTGGCTTACTGGGCTTTCATCAGTTCTTAGCCAGTTTCACAATGGGGAATCAGTATTTTACTTGGAGCTGTGTAATTCAGTTCAGATCTCTGTAATTCTCATGGAGGGGCAGTTCATAAGAAGAGAGAATTTGGTTTTCATTTAGACTTGTCTTCAAATTGCTACATAAAACAATAACTTAAAAGAACAGTGTTGTAACTGAGAAGGGGATATGAATTATTTGTCTATGACCTACTAGAAAGTATAAAATATAGCACTACTATAATTAAGTAAGGCCAGACGTCTTCCTTTTCTTGTTAAGATTCTGGTTAGGCATTTGTAGAGTTCCTTTGTTTTGAAACAGTTTCATCTGATCTCTGCTTCAATACGTCATTTGGTACGCAGATCAGATACCATTTTACCAAAAGCCAGTTCACATGCAACAGACATTTGCTTCTGAAGAGGAGCTAGTTCTCTAATTCTTTCAAAGATGCACCATATTGAGTGCCCTTTGGCTGCAGGTAAAGAATTCAACAGCTTGTGGGAGTGCTAATTAGAGCTAATAATAACTTCAGTGACCTGCCTTGGCTTCAAAATGCCTAACAGAAATTGCTCTGTCCTTGAAGGATAGAGATTCTGTTTCTGTGCACATGTCTGATTAAGGATGCTCATGACTTCATGTTTCTGCTTTTAGTGATCTCACACAATGAACAAAGTACGTGCAGGTGTGTGAATGAAAAAGAAGTGGGTGGTGTTGAGGTAGCAAAAGGGAAAAAAAGGCAAAGTGTTCTCAAAAATATTACACCAGAATTCCGTTATTACAGGGATTTATGCTGTTAGCTAAATAGCTTTCTTAAATCTAGAAAAAAATAATAGGAAAGCAATTAGAGTAGGAATTTGATTATTCATAGTTAAACCTTTTCTCTCTAATATTTGTATTTTTGTTCATGGTTAGTTTGCTAAAATATGTAGAAAAGGTCTGAGGGAAACTGATGCTTTAATGTGAGCAAGTACCCAGAGAGCTCCAAGGTTTAAGTTGTTGGTTTTTTTTTTTTTTAAATCTGGCTAAGAGATTGCTGATGGTGCAGAAAATAATCATGTTTTCAAGGAGATTGCCCTAGAGCTTTCTAATGTTAATATTATTAACAGAAAAAAACCCTTTACAATCTTGCATAAGCAGTTATTGGAATGATAGATTTTTTTTTTCTGATTTTTCTTTTTATTTTGCTGATTTGGAAACAAATCAATTAAAGGCGGAAAAGAATGTCCTTTAAAATTCTGGTAGACCCAGGAGTTATAAATAAAATCACTACAGTCATGCAAATAAAAACATAGATTAAATTCCGTCTTCTCCTGCACACGAACCAGTGGAGAGTAATTCACAGAAACTGCTGGGATTGCTCCTAAATTTTAATGTCATAACTGACATCAGGATCTGGTCATTGTAAACCTTGGATGTTTGGGAGGATTAAAAATAAAATTAAAAGATTATTCTTGGGCTGAATATGAGAAGCATCTTCCACAGTTTTATCAGTTTTAATAATGCTATTACTACCACATACTCTTTTTTAAAGTATTTAAGGTTCTGGATTTTTTTTAAGCCTTATTATTACTAAATTGGACGGTGGGAAGCCTGGAATTGCAGAGTGCATAAGTATATATATGTTTTTATTGAGGTTAAAAGTTAAAAAATTTCTGAGGCACTCATGGTTAGGCTCATAAGTTCTTGATTAACCATAATTAGACAGTTGGCTTCAGTGCTGCCTGGGCCACCAGATCTCTTCTCATTCCTGC